CCAGTAATATTTGGGGTCACAAGTTTTTGCCATGAATATTTTGTGGGTCAGAAGATAAAAAGTTTGGTAACCACTGCCTTAGGCAGCTTTGATCTTTCTACCAATGGTTTGAACCTTGTGCAGTTATTTGCAATCTAAACCATTATTATCATACTTGTTGTAGACAGTGATGTGAATTAACCTCAGTTTGGAGAAATTATTTAATTCTGACCAGATTACGGTTAGTCTGAGTGAGGCCAAGATCAAAGTGGATTGCTGTTATCCTGAAACAACTTCAGTCTCATTGTTTATTGTGATGTATGCTATTTTTTTATAAACCTTGACATTGCTGTACATTTTTACATTACATGTTTGTATAAAATTCTAGTCTGAGTTATAAGTCACTGTGTCTTGTTGATGCATTTGCTTATTTCTCTTCTCACACCCAGGGGTGTAAGCACAAATTTCCGGGCCCTGTACACTCTTGATGTCAGTGGGCCTCTATCCATGCCAGTGCACGAGGTGCATAAGCAAAAAAGAAAAAAAGGGGGGTATTCTTTTAAATAAAAAGCATAAATAGGGTTTTAAGCTACAATCAGATCAGATTATATTGATGAGTGGTTCTTTTATTCACCAGCTGAATTGATGCATTTGGCCTACCTGTGTTCAGATACCTAAAACATTATGCTACATCTGGTTTGTGTACTAATGTTGTGATCCATGACACTCGAGCAAATTTTGATTTAAAAGCATTAAATCTTGAACTTTAGACAAACATTTGGTGCATGATGTGTGCTCAGTTTAACTGTCTGCACACGTCATTAACTGAACACCAAATGTTTCTGTTGTGATGCAATAATAGTCAAACCATATTAACTGAGATTATGTTCACCTTTATTAAAGCATGTACTGTATCAGTCCTTTGAACTCACTAAGAATACAGTTTGATAATCAGCCATAGTTTCATACAGAGACACACAGGTGGAGCTCTACAGGTGTGTTTATCCTCAACAGGGGCATCAGAAAACTTGTAATGTGTGTAAAGGACACACTGGGGGGCGGGGGGGTCTGGGGGTCCTCCCCCAGAAATTTTTGAATAAAGTAGAGGCTATTTCCTGATTTCTAATGTATTTTAACAGGTTGTTAAAGATACTCTTACTTTACTTTATTTAAAAAAAGACTTAATTAGAGACAAATTGAGACAAATTCTTCAATAAACTAGTTGCATCGTCCTGTTTTCAAACTCACTTATGGCTCAGATAATTAAATGATCAGGCTTAGAGGAGTTATTTTATATTAATTTTGTTTATTTAATTTTATTTATAACACAACATATAATGCCAAACAATGATGACACACAACTGCATGTTTCAAACTAAAATCATTAATAACTTTATCAAGTGAACAGGTGTAATTATGATAACTACCAACAGTGGATTTAGTTGAATGTTCGACTTTTTTCTGTTTTGATGACAGGTCCACTCATAAACTGACATAGCATCAATGCAGCTTTCTTCACAACATAAAATAACACTGTGCCAAACAACGCTGTTGCAAAAATGAGCTTGTGTCAGTTTCATCAACCTGCATGTAAATTAGGAACAGTTGATACATGGATGTTTGGAACTGATTAGAAAGCTAACGATGGATGGACTGACAGATTTATTTACTGACCTTTATTTAACCAGGAAAATCTGAACTATGAAAACTAATTTCTACAACTTCCTAGAACTGGTCAAAATAAAATGAAACTGTTAATCATGCTGTAGTCGTATTTAGATCAGTAACTTATTTCATTAAAGGCACAGTGTGTAGGATTTTGTCAATTCTTTTAGCCGAAATTGAGATAATCACTAATGACAATAATAAAAAAAACATGTCTAATCATTGCAGACAAAGACCTTGTTTTATTATTTTTACCTTTATAAAAAGCTGTTTATATCTCCATGGTCGCGGGTCAACACTACAGGCAGCCGCCATCTTGCACCGCCATCTTGTCTACGAAGGCTCACGAAGGACAAACTGCAGTGGCGGTGTCAAAAACGGTTTCAGTTGTAATACTATAAATGTAATATTTGTTGTCTGTCATTGTAGCTGGGATAATTTTACTTATTAAAGCTCATAATCTTACCACTTGAAACATCACTAGCCCTGAAGCTGCTGGTAGACATCGCGGTTGGAATTATCAAAGGTTTTTGACCCCTGAGAGACACCATAGCAACTCCTTTGTGTTTGGAAGCTTCTTCCATGAAGCAGCTCTGTTGTCCTCCATCTATATTTTCAGTTACAGGCTGAGTCATTTCTACCTTCTCCTCTCTGTCAACGCACTCTGGTTTCATTTAAAAGAGCCAATCGTCAGATATTGTCCAAGATTAACCTACAAGGTGGATACAGCGCCATAGCAGCCTCGCACCGATGACCTAGTTGATGTCATCAGTTACCCAGAATGCTTTGCATGTCAATAAAATGGCTCCGTCCGTGTTAAAATATATTTGAAAAAATTTACAAAACTAAACAGCCTACAGTATTTTTACAGTATTTATTTTACAGTTAAAATAAATGTTCATCAAATAAAGTTTAATGTTACAGCTAATCGTGGGTCTCTTTAAGATTTCTCCCTTGCTGTTTCTCTTGAGAAAAAAAGACATCTTCAGATCAGTCTTTTTGTACCTTTTGTTGAAGTATAACCAACCCTTTGACCATGTAAAGCAAAGATGATGATACTGAAAAGCTTTGCCTGCACAAACGTCTTTATTTTATTTGAGTTGTTGTTAGAATGGTTAGATTTCCACTTAGTCTTGACCCCACTTGGCTTATTTGGTAGCATTTTTGAGCACTTTAAGATGCATCAAAACATTGCTTCAAACAACACCTCTCTCTTTAGTTTCAGTTGCAGTAGCAAACTTTTTACTGGACAATCCTGACCACAGGCACTAAGACTGGAAGGATGCAAATATTTTTAACTGTACTTATCAACGGGTGGTGCTTATCTTTGTGGACAACCGTTTAACTACCGCTGAAATACAGAAACACATTTTAACAGAAATCCCCATATAAAAAATAGAAGCTCATTATCTGTGTTTTTGTGCAGTCAARGTTCATACAAATGATGTATGCTAAAAATAAACATCATTGAAAAAATGAAACCTAAATGGAGATATTTTTGTTTACCTAAATCTAGGCACATTTATTAATGCTCAAAGACTAATGTTAGGCAGTGTTGGCACTGTGAAGCAATTAGAGTTTTGTGGTTTCTTGACTCTTCTTACATAAGGCTTCTTTGAAGTTTTAACTCTGGCGTGACCTCAGTCGTGCTTTAAAAAGATTAACAGGAAAGTCTCAAGGAGGAATTCCCCTGGAAAAATACTGTGAAACATAAACCCAGATCAATTACACCTATTAAATCTTATCTTTTATATCAAATCACTACTTTTATTGATGACATTTGATAGTTTAAAATCATGTGTTTCTGTCCTGTGTTTAACATGGCTGTTTACACATTTGTGCCAGTGTTTTTCCAGCTCAAGTCAAAATTCTAACGAGGTGTTTTCTTTGCTTTTTTTGCAGGAATACTCAACCAGAGCTTTTCTAGACCAGTGGGCTGCGACGTCCTCCTAAAGCTGAAATGACCTCTGCCGGTGGAACGCCTCAAGTGTTTTCAATCTGACGGTGGATCCCTTTCCCACTTCAGTCTTGACAGCAAACCAAAAATAATCTCATCAATTGCTTCCTCCTTCTACACCACATCTAAAACTTTGAGTACATTCCCARAGTTTGGAAGCATTCATTCAACTGAGAGCTTTAAGACATAATTGATGAAAAATGCATTCTGCAATGGAAGCAGCAGACATTGCTGTYGTAGCAGTCTATTTTGTCCTGGTGCTAGTCATCGGGCTTTTTGCCATGTGGAAAGCCAATCGCAGCACTGTGAGTGGCTACTTCCTGGCTGGTCGCTCCATGACATGGGTAGTGATCGGTGCATCGCTGTTTGTCAGCAACATTGGCAGTGAACACTTCATAGGGTTGGCTGGGTCGGGAGCAGCAAGCGGCTTTGCTGTAGGAGCATGGGAATTCAACGCGCTCCTATTGCTGCAGCTGCTTGGCTGGGTGTTTATCCCTGTATACATCCACTCAGGAGTCTACACCATGCCAGCGTACCTGTCAAAGCGCTTTGGTGGAAACAGGCTAAAGGTTTATTTTGCATGCCTATCCGTGCTACTTTACATTTTTACTAAGCTCTCTGTGGACTTGTAYGCCGGTGCTCTCTTTATTCAAGAGTCGCTGGGTTGGAACCTTTATCTTTCTATTGTTTTGCTTATCAGTATGACAGCACTACTCACAGTCACTGGTGGACTAGTGGCAGTGCTGTACACAGATGCCCTTCAGGCGGTGCTGATGATTGGTGGAGCCCTAACTTTAACCATCATGAGCCTAATCAAAGTGGGTGGACTAGAAGGTGTCAGAACTAAGTACATGCAGGCAGTTCCTAATGTTACGACCATCATGGCTACTGGAAACTTCACTTATTCGCCTTCTTGTCGCATTCACCCTAAACCAGACTCATTACGCATCCTCCGTGGTCCCCTGGATGAAGATATCCCTTGGCCAGGTTTTATTCTAGGTCAAACTCCTGCATCTATTTGGTACTGGTGTGCGGACCAAGTCATTGTTCAAAGAGTACTCGCTGCGAAGAACATCGCTCACGCTAAGTGCTCAACCCTCATGGCTGGGTTTCTCAAGATCTTGCCCATGTTTGTGATCGTCATCCCAGGAATGATCTCCCGCATCATGTTTGCAGATGAGATTGCCTGCATCGGGCCAGAGCACTGCATGTCCGTGTGTGGTTCTTCAGCTGGCTGCTCAAACATCGCCTACCCACGCTTGGTCATGGCAGTGATGCCTTTGGGACTCAGGGGTCTTATGATGGCTGTCATGATTGCTGCACTGATGAGTGATCTTGACTCCATCTTCAACAGTGCAAGCACCATCTTCACCCTGGACATCTACCAAACCATTCGGAAGAAGGCCTCTCAGCGTGAACTGCTCATCGTGGGCCGCATGTTCGTTGTGGTCATGGTAGTGATCAGCATCGCCTGGGTCCCTGTTATCATCGAGATGCAAGGTGGACAAACATACCTGTACATCCAGGAAGTTGCTGGCTACCTCACCCCACCAATCGCTGCCCTCTTTCTGCTCGGTGTGTTCTGGAAGCGGTGTAACGAGACCGGTGCCTTTTGGGGAGGCATGACGGGTTTCACGCTCGGCACCATACGACTGATCCTAGCTTTTATCTACCGTCAGCCCCGATGTGACCAGCCAGACAACAGGCCTGCCTTCATTGTTCATGTACACTACATGTATTTTGCGGCCGGGCTGTTCTGGATTTCTGGGCTGGTGGCCGTGTTGGTCAGTCTGTGCACCTCTCCACCTGAAGAAGAGCAGGTACGCACCACCACATTCTGGGGGCTCCGTCACGTCAAAAAGATCCCAGTGAACAACCAAGATGAAACGTATCGGCTGTCTGAAAAGAGCCAATGTAACGGTAATGGAAGTCTCTACAAAGAAATGCCCCCAGATGTCAAGAAGGAGAGGTGCTTAGATGGAGCTGATATCAAACTTCTGGTCCCACACACGGATCATGACCCAGCGACCCCCAGCACTGAAACATCCCCCGCCAGCACCCCGGCTGAACGAAGGCTGGAGATGATCAGAGCCGAGGAAGTCTGTCAGGAAAAAGTTGAGAGAAACATGTTCATTCGTGCACTTGACTGTTTTTGTGGATATAAAGAAGAACCACAGAATGCCTCCCAGAAACTTCTGCAAGAGGATGAACGTGTCATTGCAAAGATGCTGTACGAGCCACCAAGAGTTAAAGTTCTCCTCAACTTGGCCCTGGTGCTGGTCTGCTCTGTGGGCATTTTCATGTTTATTTATTTCTCATTGTAGCTGAGCCTTGCGCTGAACTAACTGGAACTGTTGAGAGAAATTTTCTGATGGTGTAAGATATGTCAGAAATGATTTTTGAGCTGTTACACCAGTAAAATATTAAAAGAWCATTAACTTGTCTGTAATATTTACAGTTTTATGTAGCTCTAACAGGAATCTAAGCTTATTCTTATAACTGAGTAAAGCTTCTCCATGTTAAAGATTATACTTATATTACATTGAATCCTATTGTTCTTAAATTTAAACACGTATTCAAAACATCTGGGATTTTTAGATTTGTTGTTCTACAAGTGAATTTAATATTGCCTTATTGTAGAAATGGTTTGTTTTTGTGCTTAAGAAAATGTGTTCATCTAGACCTCTTTTTTTTCTAAGGGGTCCATGAAAAAAAACTGCTAGATTTGCTTCACTGCTGATGTTGCAAATACTGCTATTTTCAGTAATTATTGAAGTTTTTGATTTGAAATAGCCCACTCAATGTGATGCATTTAGTCACACTTACTCAAATGTGCTACTACTTAGCATTAAAAAATATGTCAAGGTTTTGCAGCTCATCAAAGGGAGAAAAATAAGCACAATTTAAATACTGGACATTTTAATTTCAAATCAGTTTCTTAAAAGAAAATATAAAAGGTACATTTGGATTGAGTGTGAAGTTAGTGTCRCCTATGACCAAAGTCCAGTTGTATCTGGAGAACTTTTGGCTATTTCTAATGGATTATATACTGTTTTCTATGACTGTTTTTTTTTTTTTAGATATTTGTTTGTGGTTGTATTCTGTGTTATAGTTCATAACCAACATGCAGCTGTTAATGCACTACTGTATTTAAGCAACAAATGTACTATTGCTCATGATTCTGTATCAGTTTCTGTTTGTTCTCATTTGCCATTTAACATCAAAAGTGTGTCAAGTCTTTTGCATTCTGTCAAAATTGTGTCAAGATTTCAGGGCTCATTTCATCAGCCTCAAATGAGATTTCTTTTGTACTAGGCCGTCTCTGGTGTACCTCCTGTTGCTGTGTTTCTATTGTGCACGTCAGTGCTAAGACATGATTTTCTCCTTTCAAGTGCATTTTCTATAAAACTCCTACCAAATGTGTCTTATTGTGCACTGCTTACATGGTATAAAAGTATTTACATGAAAAAAAGACAAATTATTTTGTGTTTTGATGATTTTGTTTGGTGATTACACTGTTTCTTTAAACTTATGTTAAGAAAACCACTTTTTAGTGCGTTGTTTTCATTTGAAGGAGACGGACAACAAATAGAACTGACATACGTGTCAGGATTAGCACTTTGCTAGAGGAGCTCACTCATCATGTGGGAGTTTTTAGTTTTTAAATTGACTGACCCACCTGGATTGTGGTCATCTTTTCTACCTTCTAATGTGTCCGCATCCCAAAAACTTAACTCACCAGAACCCAAAATAAGAAATAAAAAAGAAGAATGCTGCTTGTATGCTTTATGGAGTTTGACACCAAATGTTAACTTGACCTCAGTTCAGAGTATCAGAATGTGAATGTTCTCATTTCATCCTGTATGTTTGATGGATTAAAGAGATTGTTGCTGTTTGGGAAAGAGCTTTCAAGGTTTTTCCCTTTTTGTTTTGAGATAATACAGTATACATTATTATTTTTATGGACTTTAATTGCAATTTCTAAAAATAAAGTTTTTGTTGAGATTGAATGTTGTCTTCATTCTTTATCTTCTAAAATAAAAAAGACTGAAATAAAGCAAGTTTTATTTACTGCAACCATTTTAAGATACAAAACTAATGTGGTTTAATTGTTTTTCATCAAGTGCAACTGAAGAGCTGTTTAAAAGTCAGTATTTTATGCAAAAGTCCCATGTGAATGCTAAAAACAGCTAAAATTTATTCAATATAAAAGCAGAACAGAACTAATACGAGATAAATAGTATCTAAAATAAGCTAAACCGGAGGCTAAAATTTGTAAAATTAGCTTAAAGCAAAAATAGCTAAAATTAACACAATATAGAGCTTAAACTAGGAAAAACACATTTGCAGCTGCAATCTAATTAAGGCATAAAACGACAACAGCATCCTTTTGCATTTTTAAATAGATTTCAATGCATTTCTGAGGATTATTTTTGTAAATGATGATTAAAATGTTTAGAAGTATAAAAGTTATAAACACTAGTATTCATTGCACACTATTCCCGACTGAGGCTAATGTTTTATATAAATGATTAAAATGGCAGAAATTATACAAAAGTAAGGGAGAAACTAGAAATGGAAGCRTTTATTTTCCAATCTAATAGCATTTTCATATTTTATATTTTTTATAATAAATTTTAAGGTCGAATCAAAAGAGTTTGATATTTTGCACATTGTTTTTGTTGATTAATTTACTTAAAAACCTCATTATAACATGGACTTAGCATAACTGAAGTGTAACTATAAAAAGTGAAAGAGTTTTAGGAACATCACTCATCATTATGTGTGTTCACTGCTGTTTTTTCTWTCTACACATGCAGCGTTTTGGTATTATTGACAAGGATTAAACCTCAGCAAGWCTATTAATCTGCTCAGAGCAGAATGTGGATTGGGTAAACCCAAGCTCCTTTAGTGAGCAGTCAACCAATCAAAAAGCCAGCATCAGTGGCTTATGAGCCTTCATGACCTACAGTTCAACTCCAAACATCCTTTCATCCCCTATCGACACTTGTGTAACTTTCCATAACTCAGAATATATTTAAAAATTACCCCATGGAAAGAGTAAAAAAACTGACTGAAAGCATTTAGTTTGTTTGATTAAAAGGAAAATAAACTCTAAAAATCTAAATTAAGCAGTGCAATATTGGATGTGGATGGATAATCTGTTGATGAATGGGCTGCATTTATTATAAGAGACTTAATCAGCACCGTTGACTCTCTGAGTCAGACTGACATTTAGAGGTCACAATCAGTATTTAGATGATGACTCATACCCCTTATGTTCACTGACACCCCACAGCAACAAGTTAAAATGCAACGTTAGGGAAGTGTGAAACAGTTCATACGTTACAGTAAAATTACTGACTTTTTGGTAAGTTTTRAACTTCAACTAACTTTGTGTCAACTGAACAACCAGTTTTAAGTTTCTCTTTTAAACCTGAGTTAGAATCAGTATACRGAGTATTGAATGATGATGTTTGTCTCACAGAGAAGAGCTTCACTCTGCACATGATAAACAATGTTGTAACTGATTTCATCAGACAATGTCTTCTTTGTAAAGTTCATTTGTCTTCAGTGGTCTTAAAATAAAAATGTTCCCACAACTATGTGTTTCTCTTTGTGCAGCAAAAACAAAGATTAAATGTCCCCCCTTCTTTTAGTKTATCATTATAACTTGGATGATTTGACTGTTTGTATGTTATTTGTTAATGAACAGCTGCAATCAGAAGCATTTTTATGTCCCCATATCACTTTTTTGCACTTTGTTTACATTTTCATATATATATAT